CTTCAGAAGAAGAACAGTCAACTATTCGAAAACACTCGAGTTTTGGGTCTAGTTTTGAAAATATAGCATACTTATCAACTTTGAAAAAAGTTACATGACTAGAATAGAAACTAAATTGTATGTTATTGATATTTTTAATTATGGACATAGACCAATGACATTCTAATAAGATTTTGATAAAAGAACTATAAACCAAAAAACTTTCTTGAGTATAAAAAAATTGAAGTATCACTTCTTGAGCATCTACATATTAAGTTGGGAATAAAAACAACATATAGAAATTATAAATGGAACTATTTAGAATTTTTTTTTTCACTAGGATATTGAAGACTGTATCAAGATAGCAAATGATATTGGTATGTATCAGATTTAAGGTCACTTAAGATATGTTACCTGCTTATGGCAATATTGAATTTAGATAATTTTCAAGAAAGGTTCATGGTCAATTTTTAAGTTTCTCATATCAGTTATATGTAAAAGTTTAATTAATGATGTTAAGATGTTGTCCAAAATATATAAAATTAAATTTTAGCAACTATATTTTCATTTACAAAAATGCTATTATATTTCACATCATTTCATGTGCATGTCAGGAATTTTAGTGAGTTACATTCAAAATTTAAATAAACTACTTTTTTATCATAGTATATCAATAAACTTGGCATAAAAATGTAGCTAACAATTCAAATTTTAGCATTACTTAAGTTTTAAGTTCTTAATTTTATAAGGCAATATAAAAGAAATATCCTCCATTTCCCCCGTTATGAGAATTATGACATTTGCTCTCTAGGTATCTCCTCTTCTCCAATTTATTTACCACCACTCCAAGAAGTATGAAATTTAGCATAAAATACTCATTATAATGTTGTCATTGCTCAGACAAAGCATCATTTTTATAGACTTCAATCTTATTTGGTTACAGAGCCATAAAATAAAAAACGGACCCTACTTGTCATGCCCACCTGTCACATCCTCTTTTTAGCAAATAGCCAGTAGTTCTCTCTGACATTTAATACTGTATTGTTTATAACCACTAGAAAGTGAAGGTTTTAATCTATAAAGTTTCGTATGATATTACTTTGTTTTCTGTCTATTTCACTTCCCATTAAAACTTTATTCCCACAGGAAACA